TTGTAGGTTATCTGCCGGCAATGTGATTCTCGTTAGCATGATCGCTCATGTTTTCTGATACGCTGTAGCACAGCAATGCCAAGTAAGATGTTAGCAGCAGAGAGACGCAGCTTGTGAGGGTCTGGTAGGTGTCAGTGGAGCTGAACTGCTTGCTGGCCCCCCTGTCTTGTTATTTTGGGGGTGTCACCGGGAGACGCGAGAGAGACACACGCTCCATCAACATCAAAGAGCTGTCAGTTTCGGATCAGAACTTTCAATTAACTCCTGGAAGAGCGATACCGAATGAGGCAAAGGCTCTCCGATCCCTTTGTTCGTCCGCTGGTACGAAGAAGGAACCGTTTCTGACATCTGTGTGTCAATCACACGCCTGACCTTTGACCTCTGCAAACTTCACTCCCATTCTGAAATCCGAATTACTAAAAAAGCCACATATTCAATTAAAGCCAGTATTTAATGTAACTTTAGATTTTAAAACAATGTTTTACTACAAATATGTGTACCTTTTAAATAAATATTTCTACACTTAAGACCATGTGGCGGATCCATAGTTCCCTGACTTTTTCTTCATTTGAGCGTGTCCTGTTTAGTATCATTTACAGTAACTAGGATTTTAACTGTAAAAATATTCAAGAGAAACAGTATATTTATTTCATATCTAAAAATTTACCACTGTGAATAGTGCCCCCTAGTGTGTCTAAAAAGAAATGCCTACAATGTCCAATCAAATAAAACACTCTTACAAATGTTAATTTTTCAATACAGCCAAAAACTTCACACGGGGAAAGAATATCTTTCAAACTTGTCTTTTTCGTTCTTTCTTTCTTTCTTTCTTTCTTTCAAATGTGACTTTTTCACAATGAAAATCTTTTCAGTTTGTACTATTAAGATGCCATACCGCCTACTGAATTACACACACCGTGCTCCAAAGTTTTATTCACTTTTTTTTTGCCAATTTTCTTTCTATTTCCATCTTATGTTTTGGCAATCTAGGTAACAGTCGTGTGTGTGCTAAACGTCTTTTTTAAGAAGAGTACATTTGATACCTTCAGAATGAGGGGTCTGAAATGATGTTAAACTGGACCCAACCTCATCAGTATAAAAATACAGTTGCTATGGTGATGAAAACCAACCATTTTTCAATTGAAATGTCAAAAAATATCTATCCATCCATCCATCCATCCATCAACTGCTTATCATGGTCAGGGTCTCAGTGGGGCATGGAATTTACCCAAGCAGCACAGGGCAAACGACTGGTATGTCTGGCTGGGACAGTGGTGGCCTAATAGTTAAGGATGTGTGTTTGTGACTGAAGGGTTGCTGGTTCAAATCCCTGACTAACAAGCTGCGGCTGCCCAGATGCTAAATAATAGCTGCCTGCTGCTCTGTCACATGTGGGTTAAATGCAGAGGAAACATTTCATTGGTGTGTCAACAATGACAATTAATCTCTTTCCCTTTTTAACAATCTTTGTCTGTGGAAATGGCCAGTAGTGGTCACAGCATTAAAGATTCAGGATTCCTTTCATACTTATACAAGCACAACATCTAGTGAAATATACAGTGAAAGCTGAAAGCCAGCCTAACATTACCAGCGGCATTCAGAAAAGGACCTGTTAGCAAAATGCATTATTTAATTCATCCTTACTACAGTCCAGTTTCCAGCACATTTCACAGAAGCCCTATAACTTTCCTGATGGTTGATCACAGCCACTGGAAATGACTTTGAAATAAAGAGACATTGAACTGGCATAATATCAAGATACATGCTGTTTAAAATCACTGTTTGGTACAAATGGAATGGTGATTAGTTATGAGCTCCGGTTTGTCTTTCCCTGCTGGTGAAACTGAACTTTGACGATGTGTTGTCTTCTATAACCTTTCCTCGATAGGTTTTCGTAAGGAAATAAATCAAATATTTACCCCAGTTTTACAGGGACTTCATGTGCATTACTGACAGCAATAAACAGTCCTTTTGAAAATCTGACACAGTGGTTTGGTGGGAGATGCGGGCAGGAGCCACGTCTTATCGGGAATTTCCTGGAACTTAAAGAACGAGTTGTAGACATGGCATGATGAAGATGTCCGGGGTACTTTGATCTTGTATTTGAAATGATGTTGGTCAAGGAATGCTTTTAGCTTCTGACAACCCAGTTAATTTAGTTTTATTTATTTAAATTACATCTATCTACATCTACATTTTATCTGATGCTTTTTTCCAAAGCAACTTATAGTAGAGGGAAAGGTTACAATGTATGTGTGTTTCCTCGGAATTGAACCCATAACCTCTGTGTTGTTAGTTTAACATTCTACTACTTAATAAACTGTTTTTTTGTATCCTCTACTAGCACACAACTGTGATCGCTTGTTTTTCTGAAAGCTGGCCAAGGCTGCACTCATTGAGTCATGGTGATGAGGGAACCACGCAAAGACAATGATGTTTAAGCACATTACAGACTGACATCAGGGTGAACCACCTGAACTCATGAAGGGGCACAAAGGGTTTATTTTGGGGTCAAATGTAATTGTTCATGTTTACTGATCTCACGTGCTCCACGTAAACATTGCTCTGCTCATATCTCATTGTCGGCCATATTGGTGCCATCTGGAAGAGGTTATTCACCATATGAGATCATTTACTCTCTACACCGCGACCCATTGCTCTTCCTCCCGTACATCAGCGTGACCAAAATGTCACCCGTCTTGGTATATCTATATTCACATGCCCTTACAGTTACGCAGAAGACTTCAAACCTTATCAGATTTAGAGACAGGGATTCTCATTTTCCACCCTGTCAGTTTTGGTATCGAGTGGTAATTTGTTTAAACAAACGTATGATTGGTTTGTCATATTCTTTTTGTATGACTTCCACGTTGATCTGCCTGAGGTGCTGCCACTTCATGGTCTCGCTCTGTGTCTGTCGTGTTTTTTTTTTTTTTACAAAGCTGCTTTTCTAAATGCTATTTGACGAAGCCAACTCGCTTACTGTACTGGACACTAATTACGTCGGATTTTTCTCTTGAACTGCTGCCCATTCTCGGGTTTCTCTGTGTTGCATCTCAGCCGTTCTTCGCTTCCTCGTGTCTCATCGGTTATATCGATCGTCCTAATCTACCAACACCTGTCTCGCTAATTAACCACCGCCATGACGACGTGGAGGCAGACCACGTCCGTGTCTGCACAGTCACCGTGCAGCTTCTCCATGGCATTTGCCCTTTGATCCTTCGCGATGGGTGAGTCATGTGACACTAGTGTGTGTGTGTGTGTGTGTGCGGGAGGGGGGGGGGGGGGGGTGACAATCAGTTCCAAATGGTGTGAGTCACAGGGAGACTGGAAAACAGAATTGCCACATTGCTGGGATCTGGGCCTGGACGCTGTGGCCTGTGACTCACGGGGAGTTTTTTGCTTGCTAAAAACAGCGCCTCTCGACATTATGAAGCAAAAGGCCCATCACTGCATCCATCAGCATTGCCAGCTGGGTGCCAGGAAATGGCCACTTTCTGCTGAACCTCCTCTGGGGTCCCGTATACTATTGATTAGTTGTGATGTAAGCGGAACTGCCAGGCCTGATCAGGGAAGCACCAATCAGCAGCCACACTGGTGCAAAGCTGAAAGATTCCTGGAAACCCAGGGTAATCCCCTAACTTTTTTTGCACATAAATTAATGACCTTTCGCTTCCCTCATTTTAAAGATATTTATCCTGGTTCTTCAGAGTCCCAAGCTGAGTCATGTTAAGAAAAGGGATGAAATATTACATTTTGCTGGGGCTCGAACCCTGGGTGTCCCCTCCCTTCACAGGACCACCCCCTGCCTTTTCAAACGATGTGTGACTGAACACTCCTTTATTTTTGAAGCTAGAGCTCTCCTTCACTGCCCCCCCCCCCCTTTTGGAGTCCCTCTCTGATGTCAGATGAGAGGATTCTCCACGTGAGCGCGGTCAGGGATGAAATCACACCCTGGCTGATTCTGAGCGCTCGAGTGACAGGCAGCGGATGATGCCAGCAAGTGGGAATCAGCCACCCGGTAACAGAAGGGCAGAAAATAACCCGGTGGGGGCGCCAGCATTTTCCTGACAGGGGCTCCTAATTTAAGCTCCACACTCATCAGCGGGAACCCAAAACATAACTCAAGATTCTCCAAAGTCATTCCGGATTTTTTTATTCATTTCTGGTACATGAACAGTAATACGAGCATCTTGTCATGATACATGCATTGAGACTGCACCGATATTTCCCACGTTATTCTGTGAAATAATTTTGTTTCCAGTACAGTAAGGCTAATTTAATTCTCATTAGCAAGTTTCCACAGCGTACTGGCAGGCGGGGACAATCGTGCCATTACCTTGCTGCGAATCAGAGATGGAAATATCCCCCCACATTGGCAGGTTAATTTGCTCAAATAACTTAGTGGGGCAGTTTTCCACCAGGCGCTTACAGCTCAGTGAGGATTTCAAAGCAGAGTGAGAGGAATTTTTCCTTGGGCCCGAGCTTCATATGGCACCTAACAGGCTCAGAGAAATACCTCTCTGCTGTCAGTGGCTTGAAAGGGCTGCTGCTAAATGAGGTGAGCTTATAACCAGAAGGTTGCTGGGTCAAATCCCAGTAAGGGTCCACTGTTGTACCTTGGAGTCTGATCATTTACCTCGCAGTGGATTAACATGGCAAAGTTGTTCTGGATCAAAGCTAAGCAATTAAACAACAACACGTGTTATCGCTGTAGGTCATTTGGAAAAGCCGCGAGTATACCATGTGTAGCCAGATGGTTTCAGTATTCAGTCTTCCGCAAAAGTGCCGATGAGCAGATTCAAGCTCTGACACCCAGAATATTGTGCTTTTTACATTTATACGTCCTCTCTGCCCTGTGCCGCCAGTTTATAGGTTACAGTCATCATCAGAAAAGCTAAACGTTGCACAGAGCGTCCCAGGCCAATCCCATGCCAGACACGGGAGGACTCCATAAAGCCAGGGGGCGCCACTGATTACTGTACGCAGAGAAGCTTTGTGTCCCGTAAGACGCTGCCGTCTTTGTCCGTTCTAATGGAGTGCAAGTTGCCAGCGTCCTAATGCAGTGAGGATTTCACCATTCCTAACTAACTATTCGTTAAGTGGTTCAAAATACCTTGATTTTATATGAACTTGCAAGGATTTTGTTGCCATGGTGAGTACCTAATGAGGGAGAAGCCGCGAACCATCGACAGGGTGCTGGGCAGGCAGGACTAGTCGAAGCAGCAGGCTATCACGTCTGGTACAAACTGGCAGAAGGGTTACTGTGGCACAAATGGCAGATAATTCTGATAATCACAACACACTGCATGGATCCCTGCTATGAGTGAAAGCTGCTACAGTCCATCTAATACACTGAGGGTTTAACCACAATTCACTATTCACTAAGTGGTTCAAAATACCTCACTTTAAATATAAACTTGTAATTGCGAGTTTTTAAAGTGGAGCAGGTGATTGGCTGAGGCAGATAGCCAATCACCTGTCTGTAGTATAGTCTGGTTTCTTACGCAAATGCGCAAATCCTCACTTAGCGACGCCCAGGATGGCTACAGACGGAAGGGCTGCCCGTAGAGCAGAGAGCGCTGCTTACGACCCGCCGCCCTGCACAGCTGCTCGGAATCCTGCCTCGCTGTTCTTTAATGAAGGAAGAAGAAATGCAATTTAAAGACTGCGCCCGTGGCTCGTTTCATAGGAGCCGATTGGCACTGACAGCTGTCGATACAATGAAAGTCGCATCCATCAGCTTCGGGAGCGAGATCTGTCGTTTCCTCCTGACTGGAAGCCCGGACCGCTTCATTAATGCGATTCACAAATATAAAATCGGCCAAAGAAATGAACGGACCTGACACAAGCCCTTAATATAACGTAAGAGAAATCGAATAAAGATGCTAACCTTGTTAAAAACACAGAGAATGGTTTTGCTTAACATATGCCATTTAAAAACACAGCGGGTGACCTTGACCTTAACCCCAGCAACATGCGGAGACAAGACTTCGGGGTCAAAATCAAAGCATATTTCCTCAAACCCGGGCAGATAATCAGATGGGGGGCAGACATGCAACATCAACGCGCACAGGAGAATATTTTTCATCACCAATAAAATTATGTAACATTAATTTCCCAACGCAACAAAAATAGACGGCAAACTCAAAAAGCTGGGGCTGCCTTTTTATTGCGCATGCGCCATCCATTTATTTATATCTATTTGTTTCCTCAATATTCCTTTCCCAAAATATTATATTTGTTTATACTGTGTACGTTTAAAGAAATTGCTTACACTTTACGTAGGCTACCTTGCTGTTGTATGCACAAGCTTCCTCCCCCCCGGGATCAATACAGTTTCATGTTTTATCTAAAAGTAACAATACAGAAAATAAATCCTTCGATGGTCCTACAAATATAACTTTACAACGTCATCTGCTGCCTAAACTTTTAAGTACCAAACGATCGTGGTTTTCGTGCATGTGTAGAAAGATCAAGCCGCGAACTAACAGCCAGACGTCTGCCGCGATGCCACTGAGACCCCACCTATTATACACAAAGACTAGGCCGGGGCGATTCAGCTGTCTGCGTCCTGGAGCAACACAGCCGGAGATCAGAAGTTAATACATTCCACTGTTAAACGGCACGCTTCCTAATACACTGTGCATAGCACAGGTCAGCCATAAATCACCCTGATTTAATAAACGTAAGAGTAATGATGAGACCTCCGCGGAGGACATTTACTCAGAAACCTCATCATACTTTAATAGTTATAGTGTAAAACAGGAAAATGTCAGCTTTCATTTATATGGAAATATATCAGGCATAATTGAGCCGGGCGAAGGGCTTGCAGAAATGTGCGTTCCCCTCCCTGTCCATCTGCAGAATGAAGTTTGAGGTCCTTCTCTTGTTGTGCTATCAATACGCATTAAAATAATGACCGATTTTGTGCATTAAAGGAAAAACCTTTGCCCCAATATGAGAACGACGAATATCCAAAGTCTGAACAATCTCTCTGGGTTATATTTGTTAATAAACAAAAATCCCTAACGTATTATAGATATGCAAAACCGAACTTTGAATTAATATGTGCATAAAAACATCAATAAAAATGACAGTCAAATAAATACAGGTCCAGTGGGACATGAGATTAATACAGAACAACTGAATTATTATTTATTTGGCAATGAATCCTAATTAGAGTGCTTTTGGTTTATGACGATGACGATAATGATGATGATGATTATGTTGATTATTGTTATAATACAACAACAAATATATATATATATATATATATATATATATATATATTTAAAATGGTGAGCCTGGTCTAGCTGCTGTGTGATTCTCTCGGGCAATATTTAATTTATATTCAATTAAGGCTTTTAAGCACTGAATCAATCAATGCGTAAGATTAGGCGCAGATGACCAAAATGAATGGACTCATTAGCATAAAATCCTCCTCAGAGGAAGGACCGTGACTCCCAGGGGCTGAAGCCAAAGACAGAGAAGGAGACTTTGTTGGATTTTGTTTTAGAGACAACCAGCCTGTTTTGTTTATTATACTGCTTTGCTGTGTGTGAAAATTTCGATTGCACACTAAAAGTGTGGCTCCGACGTGCCATGACGCATCTTAGCTCTGCTATACACTGTTCTTCCCACCCATCCCACTGTTTGCTTTGAATTGCACAAATACCGCGTTGGTAATCTCAGATTTTAAGATTATTGAGACACACTGCCTACGCAACAGGCGATCTTTTGTACCACATTCCTCGTCTTATTCAACGTAATGACAGCTTCAGCAGTCGTTTTGGTTTCTTAAAAATTTGTCCCGATCTAAGATTAAAGGATGAATAGCTCTAAATGTGAGTAAAATTAGACGCCCTGTTATGTTAAAAGGAAACTTGTCCGTAGAGGCAATTTAACTAAACTCTGGTCTGTTTCTGGAGATTAGACTTAGGTGGATCTCACAAACAACTAAATACGAAACGGAGAGGAAGGGAGCATTTTATCTTCGGCAAAGTCAATGACATAAATGTGACTTTCTGCAAATGCCACGAAATAAAAGGCAGTGATTCTCCTGCCGGGTCTAAACAATTAATTCGCTATGACATTTTCAACCAATTTCCTTCCATGTGTAAATTTCTAACTAAAATCTGATTTCTGTAAATGTCACTCTTACAAGCATCTTTCGCAACTGGCAAGTAAAACTGAAGCGATCATCACGCATGTTGCACAAAGCGATTATGAAAGTGCATGAATCAGGGCTGGTGACCCCTGCAAAGTGCTGTTCGCGTCCGTCCCGTGATCCCCCGGAGAAGGACATTTAGCATCCTTGCAAACTTAATAATAGCAAATGGTTAAGTTCACAATGACCACAACAGCCTTTTTTTTCTTACAAAAAGAACATCGCAAAATGATCCCAAACAGTATAGGCCTACCTATAAGGTGACTTTTAACATTTTATTTCCGGGAATGTTTGATGCGATGTGTTCTTCAGTATTACACTATATGGACAAAAAGTATTGGGACATACCTCTTAAACTGAATGCAGGTGATTCATTCAGACCCATTGCCACAGGTGTATAAAATCAAGTAGCCTACCTAGCCATGCAGTCAGGTTTACAAACGTTTGTGAAAGAATGATGAGGTCAGCGAATTCAAGCATGGTACTGTTATAGGATGCTACCTTTGCAATAAGTCAGTTTGTGACATTTATTCCCTGATAGATATTCCACAGTCAACTGTATGTGGTATTATTGCAAACTGGAAGCATTTAGGAACAACAGTAACAGAGTCAGGTAGCCAAGTGCTGAGATGCATAGCAGAGGTGGAAAGTTCAGGTCCAAAAAGTACAAATCCTGACCAAGCTTTTGCTTCAATCAACCAGTTGAGTATAAAGAGTCTCAGTCACACTGTACTCAACTGGTTGGCTGCAACAAATCCTTGGTCTGAACTTTCCACCTCTAGTGCATTAAATTTGCCAGTGCTCTGTTGATTAATAACTGCAGAGTTCCAAACTTCCTCTGGCATTAACTCCAGCACAAAAACTGTGCACCAGGAACTTCATGGAATGGGCTTCCATGGCTGAGCAGCTGCATGCAGGCCTCACATCACCAAGCGCAATGTGAAGCGTCAGGTGGAGTGGTGTAAAGCTCTGGGCTCTGGAGCAGTGGAGATGTGTTCTGTGGAGTGACAAATCACACTTCTCTGTATGGCAGTCTGATGGATACCAGGAGAATGTTACCTGTCTGACTGCATTATGCCGACTGTAAAGTTTGGTGGAGGAGGGATAATGGTATGGGGTTGTTTTTCAGGGGCTGGGCTAGGCCTCTTAGTTACAGTGAAGGAAACTCTTAGTGCTTCGGCAGACCAAGACATTATGGACAATTCTATGCTTCCAAATTTTATTTTCCAGCATGACTGTGCCCCAGTGCACAAAGCAAAGTCCACAAAGACATGGTTGGGTGAGTTTGTGGAAGAACCTGATTGACCTGCACAAAGCCATGACCACAGCCCCATTAAATACCTTTAGGAACAACTACAATGGAGATTGTGAGTCAGGCCTTCACATCCTACATTAGTGCCTGACCTCACAAATGCTCTTCTGGATGAAAAATTCCCACAGACACACTCCAGAATCTTGAGGAAAGCCTTCCCAGAAGAGTGGCAGCTGTTATAGCAACAAAGGGGGGACCAACTCCATATTGATGCCTATGGATTTAGAATGGGATGCCATAGAAGTTCCTGTAGGTGTAATGGCCAGGTGTCCCAATACTTCTGTCCACATAGCTTCTGTATTCTGGGATTCCCCGGAAAACTGAATTCAAATAAATACAGTAATTAGTGAACAATCAATTAACTTTTCTGATTTATAGGGCAAGCCAGTATGGAAAATGTATGGATTGATGGATATAAATATGTAGAGTACTTTTAAGTTCTAGTGCATAATCCACAAACTGAAAATTATGCAGTATCGCCCCCTTGTGACAGTTTTGCACCTGTGGAAATATTACCCGATATAGGTCTAAGGCTAACATTGTTAGTCTGGTTGCTAAGTAAAGATTATCAGTGTGGAAAATCTGCATATAAAAGCTCATCATTTTTGTGTATTTTTAAACTGGAGTCCTTAAGGGAAATGGAATAGATTGTTTTGTTTACAAATGCCATCTGTGGGGTTAATCTCGGGCTTGGATACGGGCTTGAAACGTACTGAAGATGCACCCTGTAGTTGCTTGTTTGATACATTTATCAGGAACACCCTGTGATTTCCGTCTTGTTTGATACTTTTATCAGGAACACCCTGTGATTTCCGTCTTGTTTGATACTTTTATCAGGAACACCCTGTGATTTCCATCTTGGCCGACACAGCAACTGTTACCCTCATCACAAGCTGAAATTTGAAACCAGAGTCACCTATTCACCAGTCAGTTATTTTAAGACATTATTATAAACATTGTGAGAGACGAGCGTTTGCTCAGGGAGTCCCGAATGAAGCAGATCACCCACATTGTGAGGGAGCGTCAGTTACGGCACAATGGCCATGTGACGCGGTTCCCTGAGGGTGATCCGGCTGGCAGGATCCTCATTGCCGAGGACCTGAGCGGCTGGACCAGGCCCTGGGGACGCCCATGTGATAGACGGCCATTTCCGGAGGGTGGGACTGGGCCGCACGTCAGCCTGGGGGGTTGCCACACGGGATCCTGAGGTGTTTCGTCGTTTGATGGGTGCAGCAGAATGCTGTCCCAGTGCATGCTCCACAACCTAACCTGATGAAAAACTGAAAGATGCTACAAACTGTTTAAAGAATTATTCACATCTTAATGTTTGCTGAGAACCTAGATTCCTGCCTTTTGTCTATCTATCTATTTATTTTTTTATTTATTCTTAAATCTAGATCTACAACTTCTTTTGCATGTATATTGGGTATTGTTTCATCATTGAACAGCAGGGGGCAGCATTAAACCACAATCTAGCTATGGAAACCTGACCTTGTTCCAGCCGGTATCCAGTCCAGTGTGTCCTATGTTTCCTGGTACCAACAGAGGGCTCAGAAATACACCAATCCTAGGATGACTGTGATGATACTGGTGCTGCAGAGTAATGCTGGGCTGGTAAGGAGAGTG